TTTTAAAGATTTATTTATTTATTTATTTATTTATTTATTTATTTATTTATTTAGTATTCTGCCTGCATATATGCTTGCAGGCCAGAAGAGGGCACCAGATCTCATTACTGATGGTTGTGAGCCACTATGGTTCACACTATGGTTCAATGTGGTTGTGAGCATTACTGATGGTTGCTGGGAATTGAACTCAGGACCTTCAGAAGAGCAGGCAGTGCTCTTAACCACTGAGCCATCTCTCCAGCCCCTGATGTACATTTTTGACTTGTTAAAAGTGTGTCTATCACTTCTGGAGCCAAGTGGCACCTAAACACCTCAGTTAACTCCCTGCTCTCTAGCTTTCTGTCTTCTCATGTTTCAGTCTTCTCCATGCTTCCTGACTCCCCCCACTCCCCTCTCCCCCAGCTTCCTGTTTCCTCAGGCTTCCTGTTTCCCACTCTCCCTACTTCTCCACACTTCCTGATTCACCAAGTGTAATGATTTTAAAAAGAAAGACAAAAAATGGGTGTCTTTTGGTGGATCCTGTCAAGTTATGCCACTAAGCAAACGGGCCATGCACAACAGAGTTAGCACAAGGGGTTTATTGGGGGAGGGAAGGTGGAAGTGAAAGGACTTAAGGCTGTTTCTGAGTGGGGACATGAGAAGCAGGCAGAGAGGCAGAACAGGCAAGAGGAGAGGCGAGAGACAAGGAAGACAAGAGAAGTAAGAGAGACAAAGAGCGAGCTGTGCCCGGAGGACACTTTTAAGGGATGTACCTGTCACATAGCTGACGGTGGACAGGCACCTGGTGACAGCAGAAGCAGGCTGTGGCCACTGTGGGAACTAACACCAAACTTCCTGTTTCTCTGTGCTTCCTTTTTTACACTTCCTGACTCCCCAAGTTTCCTGTTTCCCCATGCTTCCTACTTTACACTCCCTGTTTTCCCATGCTTCCAACTTCATACTTCCTGTTTCCCCATGCTTCCTACTTCACACTTCCTGTTTCCCCATGCTTCCAACTTCATACTTCCTGTTCCCCATGCTTCCTACTTTACACTTCCTGTTTTCCCATGCTTCCTACTTCACACTTCCTGTTTCCCCATGCTTCCTACTTTACACTCCCTGTTTTCGCATGCTTCCAACTTCATACTTCCTGTTTCCCCATGCTTCCTACTTCACACTTCCTGTTTCCCCATGCTTCCCACTTCTCCATATTTCCTGTTTCCCCAAGCTTCCTGCTTCTCCACACGTCCTGTTTCCCCATGCTTCCTGACTCCCCAAGCTTCCTGCTTCTCCACGCTTCCTGCTTCTCCACACGTCCTGTTGCCCCATGCTTTTTCCGTCTTCACAGTTCCTCTTTCTCCATGCTTTCATCGGGAATCATTTTCTTCCTGACTGAAGAATTCATTATAGCCTTTCCCTTCTTTGTTTCAGTTTTCATGTTGACATATGGCTGGGGTATTTCTCAGGATCCCTTGCCCTTGGTAAGCTCTGAACTCCAATAGGGTCACTTGGTTCCTCAGCCATTGGGTCCTGCCTCAAAGAGGAAAGTTTCCCAGTGCAGGGCTCTCTCTACATTCCCAGATGGGCAGGAACTTAACCTTGATGTCTGCTTCGTATTTCTCCAGTATCTTCACACATGTGTTCCACGAATATTTCAGCCAAAACTTTCCCACTAATTCTTATTTAGGTGTATACACACACACACACACACACACTCCTTTGTGCATGTGTGCCACATGTGCATGTGTGCCACATGTGCATGCTTGTGAAAGCCAGAAGAGGGCACCAGTTTTCCTGAAGTTACAGAAGGTTTGAGCCACCCAACGTGAGTGCTGGGACCAAATTCAGATTATCTGGAAGAGCAGTAATTGCTCTTAACCTCTGAACCATCTCTCCAGGCCCTGGACAGTTGTTTTTATTGGGAAGGTATCCTTTGTAACAAGGATATGTCATTATTAAGATTAAAAGACTATTTATTTATTTATTTATTTATTTATTTATTTATTTATTTATTTATGAGACAGAGTCTTATGTAGCCCAGGCTAGCCTCAAATTCGCTCTACTGCTGAGGATAACTTTGTACTTCTGGTCCTCCCACCTTCTCTTCTCAAGTTCTGGGATTACAGGAATATACTAGTATGCCCAGTTTATGTGGTGTTATGGAGCAAACCTAAGACTTGACACACCCTAACTAAGCAGGTACTCTACCAGTCCAGCTACACACCCAGCCCATTATCCAGCTGTCTTCTGACTTTGTCCTCTCAGAGCTGAGAAGGTTCAGTGTGTGTGAAACTGTAAGACAGTGTTTACTCATGTCTTTTGTGTCCTTATATTGCACATGCCTAGGACACAGCTATGCTTACATCTGTATGCAGGAAATGTGTATATAAGAATACACACAGAAACAGACAAAAATATCAAGGCATACACAGGATCTTTTCTTTTTAACCCTTTGGAAGAAGTTAAGAAAATTCTCATCAGCTATATATTAAGCCTTACATTATCTGGGTGCAGTGGCATATATATATATATATATATTCCACTAATTCTGTTTCTAGAGATATGATAAAGATAGTAACCAAAAGAAATTTGGGAATGAAGGGTTTATTTGGGTTACAGTCCATCATCAGGGGCAACAAAGGCAGGAGCTTGGGGGCAGGAACTGACACACAAGCCACGAAAGAATTTTTGTTTTGTTTTGTTTTTGTTTATCGAGACAGGTTTTCTCTGTATAGCTCTGGCTGTCCTGGAACTAGCTCCTGCAGACCAGGCTGGCCTTGAACTCACAAAGATCCACCAGCCTCTGCCTCCTGAGTGCTGGGACTAAAGGCGTGTGCCACCACCGCGCAGCTCAATCTGCTTATTTATACAACCCAGGACCACTTTGCTGTCTGACAAACTTCCTAGGGGTGGCACAACATACATGTTTGCTCACACCTGATAGGAAACCCACAACAGATCAAGGTACGGGTCCCACCAAAGTCCAACTTGGGGTATCAATAATTTTTATCAGGGTTACTTACTGAAATATGGGTGAGAGGTTCTTTAGAAGCAGAAATGACTCAAAAACATCGACATCACTAAAGACCACCCCAGTATCAGGTGGGTTCATAAACACTGGGAACCTGGAGCGTGGCCTACAGGCAGCTATGCAGTTTGGAGGGTGTCTCTCCAGGTGTCTTAGGTAATCTAAGTTCTTCTAGGCAGCTCGGCTGTTTCTGCTTCTTCCAGGGAGCTGGACTGACCTAAGAGTCTTGGCAGCTTTGCTTGTCTGAGAGTCTTTGCAGCTTGGCTTCATCTGAGAAGGATTGTCAGCTTTTACTGTTTGCTCTGGCAGGGAGGCGCCCAATGAGTCTGGTCAGTTTCAGGGACTTCCTGAAACTAGTTTGGGATGTTTACCTTCCTGCTTAAAGAGCTCTCCTGAAGGATGAAATGTTTTAATATTGGAGGAAACTGTTACACAACACACCTACCTAGAGATTCAGTGACTCGCAATGACCTGGGTCCTCCCACATTAATTTTTAATTAAGCAATGCTCTGATGGAGGAGTTTTCTCAGCTTAGATTTCCTTGACTCTCGCTGGTGTCACGTTGACAAAAAACTAGTTATCATATCTATAAGCCCAACATTTGGAAGGCTGAGGCAGGAGGATCTCAAGTTTGAGGTCAACCTTGGCTATGTGGTGAGACCTGTGCCAAACACACATACACACACATATTCATGCACACGCACACACACATATGCATACACACACACTCACATGCACATACATAACACATGCGCATGCACACACAATGCATGCACACACACTCACACACACGTACACACACATACACACACATACACTCACATGCACACACACATACACACATTCACGTGCACACACATATGCATACACACACACACACACACACACACACACACACACACAATCGCCTTGCAGCAGTACTTTCCACATTATTTCTGTGGTATGTGACCGGCCTGCCTGAAGTTAGTAGAGGCTCTTTGTTAAAGTAATGACAACACCAAAAAGTCTGGGGCAGTACACATGGAAGTCTGTCCTTGGGGAATCCTTGCACACATGAACATGTTCAAGGCTCTAGAGTGTGAAAATAAAATTGCTGTACTATATTCTTGTGTGTATGTGTGTATGTATGTATGTATGTATGTATGTATGTACAGATTCCCATGTCATGGGAAGCTACCATTCCATAGTAAAATGGAAACACTGCCTCTCACAATCCTTCCATCATTGAAGTGCTGCCTAGGCTCCTCCAGTAGGGCTTCTCCAAGGATACTGTGAAAGTGTTGTGAATGCCAGGCTTAGAGGGCTTGAACCCTTCTACTAGTGAGAGGTTAACAAAAGACAGAATATGGGGGTACAGCCATCCATCCCTAGCTCTTTGCTAGCTTAGCTCAATATGGATCGCCCACGTGTGCTGGTGGTAACTGTTTTTTTTTTTTTTTAAATCTCATGAGACTAAACTCTCCCTTACTTGCCCTACCTTTGAGAGGTCTTCCTGACCTCACTCTGTACAGGTGAGAGGGTAAGGCGACTGTGGCTGAATATACAGAGCTACTCAGTAGCCAAGAGGCCTGGGTTCAAGTCCTGGTGCTGAGTGACTTTGGGAGCATTAGCAGTGGGAGAGCGGGTGAGAGCATAGGCTTTGATGTCAGACACACTGGGCCCGCCCACTTCCTTCGCACACCACGTCACCTTCTCATCCTTCAGACACGGAGATCTGATAATGCTGTCACATCTGATGCCCAGGGCAGAGCAGGCATCTGCCAGACTTGGCCAACCAGACTCCTTCTCTGAATTTCATGTTGCTTGTGGATCAAATAGATTTTTGAATGCAAAAAAGTTTTGTAAATCCTTGGAGGTGAAGGAGTAGCCAGGCAATTTTACTTCCATTGCTGCCCTCAGTGCTGCCTCATCCTGTCTGGCTGGGCAGGGGAAGGGGTGCGGACCACACCAGCCTTCTTCCCTACTCTCAGGCAGAACCATTTCTCCATGACAGAACATTGGCAAGAAGATGTCCTGCCAGCAATTCATTGCCAATTTGGACCAGCTGAATGATGGCCAAGACTTTGCCAAAGACCTGTTGAAGGTATCTGCTAAGGTCCTCCTGCCCCTTGCCCTGCTCCACGTGAAGGGAGTGAAATTTTGCCCCACTGAGTCTTGACATTCTCGACCCATAGCACGGCATCCAGGGCCCCATCACTCTGGGGCAGAGATGGAAACTGCTCAGTTCCTCAGTTGACTGTTCTGTCTTCTCTAAGAAAGATAGACGGTGAGGCTCTGTGTACTCTGATTTCATTGCCCCAATCACCACCATTTCTATCACAGCAATAGCTGTCACGCCCACCAATCGTTATGGCTGCCACCCGTGACCACCACCACAACCATCACTACCACCCCCACCACAACCATAACCACCACCACCACCTTTAGCACACCTCCATCACCACCACTACCACCCTCCACCACCACCATAACCACCACCACCAATTCCACCACACCTCCATCACCACCACCACCACCACTGTAACCACCACTACCACCTTCCACCACAACCATAACCACCACCAACACCTCCACCACACCTCCATCACCACCGCTACCACTTTCACTATCACCATCGCCAACATAACCACTACTACCACCACCCACCACAACCATAACCACCACCACTATAACATTCACTACTACCACTACTACCACCAACATAACCACAGGGAAAGGCTCATTCATTCCTCCATCACCAGCAATGAAAGAAATTAGTTTCCTTTGAGACAGGCCTAGGATAAAGTTTTGGCCTTGGATAAAGAGGAGCAGATGTATTTTGAGGGTATGTATAAATGATGAGTTCATTTTTAGATAGTCTTTTAATATCCTTATGGTCCTAGGAGGGGAGTTGAATGGCAAATCTGAAAGAAGACATGTACAATTATTATGTGTCAGTTACAGAAATTAAAAGAGAACATCGTCTCTCCCTCTCTTTTTGCTATAATTATCTGCTTTATCATCAAGAAGTACCTGTTGAGAACATATCTTAAGATCAAGCTGGGTGGTGGTGGCGCACGCCTTTCATCCCAGCACTTGGGAGACAGAGGCAGATGGATCTCTGAGTTTGAGACCAGCCTGGTCTACAGAGAGAGTTCCAGGATGGTCAGAGATACACAAAGAAACCCTGTCTTGAAAAAAAAACCCAACAAAACAAGATCAAATCATCACCCATCCACTTACTAATCTCCCTCTACTTATCTATCCTTTGCCTGCCTCTCCATCTTCACACATTCCTCATGCATGGATACACCCATCCATGTAACCACTTACCCACCCATTTATTCCTCACCCACTCCTGTATCCCCCAAAGTTACTTTTTTTTTCCTCAAGACAAGGTCTCATGTGGCTCAGATTGGCCTTCAGCCAACTATGTAGCTGAAGGTGACTTCAAGCCTCTGGTCCTCTTGTCTCTACTTCCCAAGTGCTGGGGTTACAGGATTGTGCCACCATGTTGGTTTTCTGTGGTTCTGGGCATCAAATCCCCTGCTTCATGCCTCTGGATAAGCACTCTTAGATGAGCTATGTTTCCAGCCTTCCAAACACTCATATGCCAACCATGAATCCATTCTGACATCCATTCATTTACTTCCCAACATCCTATCCATCCACCCATCCTGTGGCATTCTAGACTTTGTACTGAGGATTCAGTGGGGAACAAGATAGACATTATTGACCTTGGAATGCTTACAACCTCCTGGCTAGACAGACAGTAGTGACTGCATAATGAAATCTCACCCATCCATACACCCATCTAACCACTCATTCATAAACTGGCATCAAGCAAGTATGAGTCAAGCCCCCACTTTACTCTTTAATGCAAAGGTGCTCCCTCGCCACAGCCACATTGCTGGAGAGACACAGGGATTTCTCTGACTACACCTTAACTCCTCTCTCTCTCCCCTTTCTCCACCCCGGTTCAGACGCTTTACAACTCCATCAAGAATGAAAAGCTGGAATGGGCCATGTGAGTAGTGATCAAGGATGTGGGTATTGAGACTGTTACCCAGAGAGGGAGTGGCTGGGCATGCAGGCCACTCTCCATGGTGCTGATTTATCCTACCCAGGGCCCGTCAATCCCTACCCTGCTCGACAAGACCCTTAGGCACGCCTCTATTTTCTGACCTGATTACAGGTGTGCAAAGTTTACATCGCTGTAGAATTTAGCTCTGTGGGTGTCTGTGACTAGCCTTTCTGTACTGAGGATATTGCGGAGTTCCCAATCAATGACAGCGTTTTCCCTTTTGGGAAGCAGGAGGGCAGGAGGCCCAGGTCCCCTACAGCACTAGCTAGCAGTATGAAGATGTTTGGGTGGTGACTGCTTTTGGCAGTGGGGCGGGGCGAATGCCACAGCTTCTTCATCCATGAAGTCTGTGCACAACCATCACAAGAGTTGCTGGTTGGTGAAGTTGTGAGGGGCTCAGAGGGGAGCCCCATGGCTGAGCTCCCCAGGGAAGATTGTGCCTTTGGGTATGTGTGGAGGGTGTGCCTTTGGGTATGTGTAGAGGCCTAAATCTCAGGGACTGCAACACTGAGAAGAGCTGGCACTATTCTATCAGGACTCCCATGGTAGGCCTGGACTTCAGGGCCTTGCCCTCTGGTTCTACTATTTCCAGCATGTTGGCATGGTTTGTGCAACAGCTTCAGACGGCAGGGGGCTAGTGCCCCAGGACTGGAGAGGAGAAGGAAGGTTGGGGGAAGGAGACTTGAAGAAAGTCTCCAACTCTATGTTAAAGGTGAAGATTAGGTTAGAGACCCTGAACGAAAGACCAGACATCAAAGATCAGGACTGAAGATGAAGGGGACGGGTCGGGTCCCCGGAGCTGTATTCTGATGCCAGAGGAGTGGCTGGTGGGAAAGGCTGTGGCAATGGGTGGGGGCAAGGTCTCTCAGGAGGTGGCTCTCAGGTCTGGTCCCTTCCTAGTGATGAGAATGAGCTGAGAAAATCCCTGTCTGAGCTGGTGGATGACAAGTTTGGGACAGGCACAAAGAAGGTGACCCGGATCTTGGATGGTGGCAATCCATTCCTGGATGTCCCGCAGGCTCTCAGCGCTACCACCTACAAGCATGGCGTGCTGACCCGGAAGACTCACGCTGACATGGATGGCAAGAGGAGTGGGTGTCAGACTGGGGAAGGGACCTGGGAGGGATCCTGGTGTGTGAGGAACCCACCCTTGGCCATTCCTTTGGGGACACACGGATGGGTGGACATGCAGGGGGTGACAAGCTAGGGGGTCACTGAAGCAAAAGGTTGCAGCCACACTACCTTCGCTTCTCCCCCTCAGCACCCCGTGGGAGGCGTGGCTGGAAGAAATTCTACGCGGTGCTCAAAGGAACCATCCTGTACCTGCAGAAGGTGAGATGGAGGCTGCTTCACAGCCCTCACCCAGAAAGCTCTCCCTCAGCATACCCAGCCCCTGCCTGTGGCACCCAGCTCAGGGTCTTCTGGCCAGGACTGGGGCCTGGAGAGGAGCTAGGGCCTTCTTCTAGCAAGTGTCTGACTTGAACTTGAGGGTTTTGGCAGACAAACTCTGAAATGCCAAGTGGACAGACAGCAATGTGAGGAGAGAGTCCACAGAGTGATCCATGTTGGGGTCTGGGAAGGTAGAGGTAATGCAGAGGAGGAGAGGGGGAGAGGAAACAACAGCGGGATGTGTGGGGCTGTAAGCCACAGCCTGGAGTGACACAGCGTACCTCACTCAGGATGAATACAGGCCCGACAAGGCTCTGTCTGAGGGTGACTTGAAGAATGCCATCCGTGTGCACCATGCTCTGGCCACCAGGGCTTCTGACTACAGTAAGAAGTCCAATGTGCTCAAGCTGAAGACGGCTGACTGGAGGGTCTTCCTTTTCCAGGCACCGTAAGTAGGGGTAGAGCAGAGTTGCCAACCAGGCTCTCAGCCTGTCGCTTCAGCCCAGCAAGCTGGACTCTCCTGGTCTCAGGATAGACACCTCAGCTGCCTGTGCCTGACAGCCGCAGACTTGCTGGGTCTGCTTGATGTAGCTCAATGACTGCTCTGAGTCTTCCAGAGCAGCTGTTCTCAGTGTGATCTTCTCTGTCACCTGAAAGCTGGGCAGAGATGCCACCTCATTGCCTCATCTTAGGACCACAGAGTCAGACTGGGTCTAAGAAGCCCGCAGGGGCTGCAGGAGCACGGTGAAGGTTGAGACAATAAACTGTGACTCAATCCTTGACAGACTCAGAGGTTAGGGGGAAGGGCTCCCTCTACGGCCCTCCATCCTCTGTGACTAGATATGGGGGATTTCACATGCCTGATAAGCTTCCCGTGAAGGAGGCTAGGATGTGAGGGCTGGGGACTGAGTGGGAATGGTGACCAGGTGGTGGGGACAGGACAGAGGTTTGCTCACGCAGCTGACTCTAGAGTTCATGGATTCTTGGGACGTCAGTCCAGAATGGAGTGGGTTTACTTCATGGGAGTCCAGATGGGAGTTCCCTATCCAGTTCTGATCAGGCTCACCTACCCACCTGCCCACTCCCACCCTCCTTCCTGCCCTTGCCTAGGTATTAGGGCCTTTTTTGCCAGACTTCATGCTGAGGACTGGATGCTAGGTGTGTGGAGGGCTGGAGGTCCTATCATGAGAACCTAGAGTCCTTTTATGTCCTCTTTTGTCCCCAGGAGCAAGGAAGAAATGCTGTCCTGGATCCTGAGGATCAACCTAGTGGCCGCCATCTTCTCTGCACCTGCCTTCCCAGCGGCCGTCAGCTCCATGAAGAAGTTTTGTCGGCCACTGCTACCCTCCTGTACCACACGCCTCTGCCAGGTACAAGCTCCTGGGTTAGGCTGCTTGCGTAAGCTCAGCTTTTTCTCCGGGTCATGTGGCCCTGGGCTGAGGGACACCAGGGAAGGAGAGATATTCTACCAACCTACCCCCACTCACAGATGGGAAGACTGAGACCCCCACATAAACAGCATACAGAGGCCTGGCAGTGCGGCTGCATGGGTGTGGTTGTGGGTCTGTGGCATGAATTGGGAGGCTGTGTGTGTCAAAGAGATAGGTGGCACATGACTGGTCCTTCATCCACTGCTCCATTTGATGGTTTAGAGATTTATTTAGTGTGTGTGTATGTGCATGTATGTGTATTTGCATGTACATTTATGCATGTGTGTGCACATGTGTGTGTATGTGCATCGTGCATATGTGTGCATGTGTGTGTCACATCCTGCTTAACTTGATCTGTAGTTCTATTAATTTCCTTATAAATGACATTGTTGTAAATGGTGAGCGGGCTGCTTTTTGTCCTGCCTGGCTCCCGGCCACCTGGCTAGCTTTACCCAAAATAATTACATGGAAACTGTATTCATTTAAACACTGCCTAGGCCATTAGTTCTAACCTCTTATTGGTGAACTCTCACATATTAGTTTAACCCATCTCCATTAATGTGTATTGCCACTTAACTGTGGCTTACTGACATGAGTCTAACTAGTGTTCGTCTCGGAGAGGAGAGCCATGGTGTTTGCCTGACTCTGTTTTCTTTCTCCCAGAATTCTGTTTGGTCTACTCCACCTATCTAAATTCTGCCCCATCAAAAAGCCAAGGCAGTTTCTTTATTTGACCAATGAAAGCAACACATAGAAAGAAGACCCTCCTACACCATGACATAATTTCATTTTTATTTTTCAAAATTTATGTATAGTGTGTGTGTTCCTGTGTGAGTTTATCTGTGTCAAACACATGCAGGTGCCCACAGAGGCCAGAAGAGGGCCTCAGATTCTCTGGAACTGAAGTAATGGGCAGTTGTGAGCCACCTGGTGTGGGTGCTGGGAAGTGAACCTGGTTCCTCTGGAAGAGCAGTAAGTGCTCTTAACTGCTGAGCCATCTCTTTAATACCCCATAATTTCATTCTTCATGGCTGTATAAAACTTCATGTGTGTATACACTACATTTTCTGTATCCATTCATCTGTTGATAGACAGTCAGGCTGATTCTGTCACTTGGCTGTGTGAACAATGCTGCAAGATGCATGGGTGTGCAGGCATTGCTGTGGTGTGCCGACTTTATATTCCCAGGAATGGTACAGTTGGAGCATTTGGTAGCTTTTTTTTTAAAATTTTATTATTTTGCGTGCGTATGCTGTGTTGGGGGTGGGTCACACATGGCCTGGCATGTGTGGATGTCAGAGGTCTACTTTGTGTAGTCTGCTCTCCTATCTTTTCATGGGTCCTGGAATCTAATTCAGGTTATCAGGCTTGTTCAGCCAGAAGTTTACCTGCTGAGTTTTCTCTGTGGCCTCCTCTTTTTTTTTTTTTTTTTTTTTTTCTTTTGATGAGCTCCCACCCAGAGTAATTTCCTCAGTAAATGTACTGACAGTTTATAGTCCCACCCCGTGCGTGCCATTCCCTCCAGTCTTCAAGAGACTTTGTGCTCGACTTTCCCTATAAAACATTTTTTGAGACTCCTTTATTTTATTTTATGTGTTTGGGTGTTTTTCCTGCATGTATGTCTGTGCACTAGGCATGTGCCTGGTGCCTCCAGAGGCCAGATGAGGGCATAAGATCTCCTGGAACTAGGGTTGCAGATGGTTGTGAGTCACCATGTGGGTGCTGGGAATTGAACCCAGGTCTTCTGGGAGAGAAGCCGGCATTTTTAACCATGGAGCCTTCCCTCTAGTTCCCATTTTTCACTTTTTAGAAACAGTCTGGTGTTGACGTTTGTCTTAGTCAGGGTTACTATTGCTGTGATGAAGCCCATGACCAAAAGCAACTCGGGGAGGAAAGGGTTTATTTCACTCACATTCCCATATAACAGTGGAACTGTTTATCCTCAAAAGCGGTGACGGGAGCTGATAGAGGTCATGGAGGGGTGCTGCTTACTGACTTGCTTCTCCTGGCTTGCTTAGCCTGCTTCCTCTCTCTCTCCCTTTCTTTTTCTCGAGACAGGGTTTCTCTGTGTATCTCTGGTTGTCTTGGAGCTCCCTCTGTAGACCAGGCTGGCCTCAAACTCATAGAGCTCCACCTGCCTCTACCTCCCCGAATGCTGGGATTAAAGGCATGCGCCACCACTGCTTAGCTTCAACCTGCTTTCTTATAGAACCCAGGACCGCCAGCCCATAGATAGCACCATCCATGATGGGCTGGGCCCTCCCACATCAATCACTAATTAAGAAAATACCTTACAACCCGATCTACTGAGGCATTTTCTCAATTGAATTTCCCGCCTTTTAGATAACTCTAGCTTATGTCAAGCCTAGCCAGGATAACATTCTTCTTCTTTTTTTTTATGTTGCTATGAAAACACCGTCTCACTAATACTACAGATTCTCAGGGTATTTTGGACAGGAAAGGATAAAGGATGGACCAGAACTTGAGAACAGAGGGTTGGCAAGCTACAAACTTCCTTCTTCAGCCATTGGCCCCTTTCCTATCAGGGCCTTTGTCTCTCCACAGAGCTCCAGGGCGTTCTGTATCTGTTGGGAGCACCTGTGTATGGGGAGCATAGTGAACACAGACACCACACACACACACACACACACACACACACACACACGCACACACACATCCCATGAGCACACATGTGCACACATGCACCCCTGTATGCCTGCAGCACAGGTGTGTCCACATATCCGTGCGGGCAGATTGCTCTAAGGGGCCTCCTCACTGTAGTGAGTGGGGTGTGTGCACTGGGCTGTCGACAACAATGTCTCAGTCTACCTTTAGGTGTGATCCGGATCTGCAGCTGTCACGCACACCCGAAGGTGGTTGTGAGACGATGCATGTGCTGGATAGAGGTAGAGGTAACTGGGGCCAGGCTGACCCTTGGCCCCGCATGCTTGGGCGCAGGTGTGGAATTCTATGCACGGGGCTCTGGTGGCGGTGTGGACACTCACATGCAGACCTCAAGCTCTCTTATCTCCTCCTGGGCACTGAGGAGGGCTGATGGCCCTGAGGAAGAGAATTTGAAGACTCTGGTTGGCACCAATTTCCCTGTGCTGAAACCACTTCCGGTGTGATGAAGTTGGCCTACCCCTGGACATTCCAGACCTCACTGACCCGGGCTTGTCCTTGCAGGAGGAACAGCTGCAGTCTCATGAGAATAAGTTGAGGCAGGTGACTGCAGAGTTGGCTGAACACAGGTGTCACCCAGTGGAGAGGGGCCTCAAGTCCAAGGAGGCGGAGGAATACCGGCTGAAGGAACACTATCTCACGTTTGAGGTAGGTCTTGGGAGGTGGATGGCAAAGGTTAAAGCTGGGGCCAGAGGAGGGGGCCCACTCCCACCCTCCACTTCCTGCCATCAGCATGCTAGGGACTCTAGTTCGAGACTCCCCCATTGTGGGGTTCTATTAGGTGTAAGCCACAGTGTCCTATGGCCAGTCTTGCACAGTCTGGCTGTCAAATGTTGGTCAGTTTTGCCTATGCCTGGGTTTCTCTAGGAGCCCCTAACATCTACTCTGCAATGTGAAAACAGAGATGACAGCAGCTGTAGTGAGCTTTCTTGGGCTGAACCCTGGCTCTTCTCCCTTCTTTGCATGGACCTTCATGTCAATCCTGTGAAAGGGTTTCTATAACTATACCCATTTGACAGAAAGGTAAACTGATGCTCAGAGAAGCCAGAGCACTGGATCCTAACCAGTGATGACTGCAACTCTGGCATCTGAGTCCTCTTTTACTTGGCTTAATGTGTGTGGGGAGGACATGAAGCCTGGTAGGCAGAACTGGGCGAAAAGGCTCCCCTTCTCCTGATGGTGGGGAAGGCCTGGAGCTCAGAGTCAAGGTGCTCAAATACCACTAAGCCCCCCTCCTAAATGTTGACAGCAACTTACATCTCTTTTAAGTGTTTGTGAACGCATCCATTTCTTCATACCCTTCCCAATACCGGGCATTTGGAGATGTTTTAATCTTCCTTGATCTCGCAAGTTTAACAATCATTGCCTCATTATTATTTTCATTTGATTTTACATTATTAATTAAAAATATTTCTTTTTATTTATTTTGCACACTTGTTTGTTGATCCCTATGAAGGCCAAGGGAGAGGATCAGATCCCCTGATGCTAGAGTTACAGGTTGTTGTGATCTCCTAATAGGGATGCTGGGAACTGAACTCGGGTCCTCTGTATGAGCGGCAAGCTCTCTTAACCGCTGAGCCATCCATTCAGCTCCCAAATTTTTAAAATTTTAATTGGGGCAACACATAATAGATTGCACCATCTTGATTACTTTTCAGTGTGTAGCTCAATAGCATTTCTTCACATTGTACCAATCTCCAGACTTCTCTGTCTTCCCAAATAGAAGTTTTGTGCTCATTAAATGTAATTTTCTTATCCTTCAAAGCACAGACATTTTAAATATCAATGTAGTTCCATTTGTCCATTTTTACCTTTATTGTCCACGTCTTTCATGTTATATCTAAGAAATTATTGATATTATTTGGATTTTCAAGGTGTAAGTGAGAAGCTGGGCATGATGGGGGTCTGACAATAATCCCAGTACTCAGGAAGTTGAGGCAGGAGGATCTCAGCAAGCTCAATGTCAGTCTGGTTTGCAGAGTGAGTTCCAGGACAGCCAGGAATACATAATGAGATGATGTCTCAAAAAATTATGAGTGAGATCTACGTGTGTGTATTCTGCCTGTCTTTTATTGGATAGTCCATTTCCTTTTTATCGATTGCAAGAGCTCCCTGCGTGCCGAAGAGGGCAATGCTATACTGCTAGTTTTTTTTTAAAAAAATTTATTTATTATGTATGCAATATTCTTTCTGTGTGTATGTCTACAGGCCAGAAGAGGGCACCAGACCTCATTACAGATGGTTGTGAGCCACCATGTGGTTGCTGGGAATTGAACTCAGGACCTTTGAAAGAGCAGGCAATGCTCTTAACCTCTGAGCCATCTCTCCAGCCCCCTATACTGCTAGTTTTCTAAGATGGCTCCCCATCTCCTTTTTGTTGCATCTCTTTTGACTTTGCTTTTGGCTTTTGTCTGCCCTATTTCCAGAAAAGCCGTTATGAGACCTACATCCACCTCCTATCCGTGAAAATCAAAGTGGGTTCTGATGACCTGGAGCGGATCGAGGCCCGTCTGGCTACTCTAGAAGGGGATGACCCAGCTCTCCGGAAGACACACTCAAGCCCCGCCCTCAGCCTGGGGCACGGGCCTGTGACTGGCAGCAAAGCCACAAAGGATGCCTCCGTGTCTGATTCTTAGCTGGTGTGGCTGTACAGGCCCTGGAGGCAGGCAAATGTCCCCAGAGGGGGTCAGTGAGCACAATTCCAGTCGAAGGCTGCTTGGACCAAGCGTCAGGCAGTTAAAACTGGCAACCAGAGGAGTATGGAGAGCCTTGTGGTCAAGGAGATGCCATTTCATGGCGCTGATCTTCTGTATCCTCGGCCGTCTCCGGCCTAGATCCTCTTCTAGCCCTGGCTGCCCTCAAGTCATGGGGCCTTGCTTTGCAGGTCAGACACGCTCAAGGGCTGCCAGCCGGAGAAGTCAGTCACTGTTGCTTCCCCAGGCCCCTTCTCATCAAGCGGCTCCTTCATCTTGTGTTTGTGAGGACTCTGGGTCTCAGCTTGGATACCTACCCTTTCTCCTCTTTCCTCTCAGTTGACCAGCAGCAGGTCTATGGACCACCAGCAACGCCTTCTCCTTTCCTTTTTCCCAGCAACCTTTGCAACCGGTCCAGGTCTCCTGCCTCACATTGCAATAATCTGAGGCCTAACCTCCACTCAGTGCCAAACTGATTCCACTCGTGCGTGTATCCATCTCTCCTTTTATCCACTCTGAGGCCTCTCCTGCCTCTTTTTTATATGGACACAAACTATATATATATGTAAAGAACTAATTTAAGGAAGGTTTGAGAACTACTACCAATTAGAGGATGAACCCAGATGAAGGAACAAGCTTGTCTCAGAGCTCGGCCTGCGAGCAAGGCCGCCTGCTATGGGGCCCTCCGCTGCCCTGACGCTCTGGATGGAAAGATGAAGACCTTTTCCTCTTCCAGCTGACTTGTGACTCTCCGGCACTTTTTCAGTTGATGCTTTCGGACTAAACAGGATACGCGTGTCACCTCCCCTGTCCCAAGGGTGCCCTTGTGGGGTGATGGCTCAGGAGCCCTCCTCTGTTTGCTTGGGTCTCGAGTTCCAGTGTGGCCTCTGCACCGACCTGCTGGCCGGGACGGAGGTCACTCTACCTTTCCGAGCGCCATAGGCTGAATGATAGAGTGAGGTGGAGGGAGCTCTCAACTCATGGGCTCGGGGACAAGGTGGAGTGGCAAGTTTTTAATTACTGATGATCTTTTCCTTTTTTTAGTGAGTGAGAAAAGCCTAGCTAAGGACGTAGCTGAGAATAGAGACGCGTGTCCGTCACGGGTTGACATCCTTCACTTAGACCAACAAGTGAGTTGGGGAGGGGATGGCCCTCTAGACACAGCTACTGTGAACTAGCCTTTCCTATTGTTTGGCCAACAGTTTGACCTCTTTGGTGACGTAAGCCTGTGACTAAGCGGTCGGTCTAGTGTTTAAGGTCCACTCCCATTGGATGTGGGGAGCTGTAAGTATGTGGAGAGGCGCAGGGGGCTTAACTCCAGATTGTTTAAATTGGATTAGCTGAAGTGTGTATTATAACCAAACCTTCTGACCCCTTTGTTTTGCTCAGGGGAAGTAAACGCTCGTTTGAATGAGATCAGAAAGGCGATTTAGGGGCAGTAAAGAGATCTCAGTTCTTTGTCCAGCTGCCTGAAGGTTCTTTGATTTTCAGGCCCGGGTCCCTCCCTCTGTGTCAGGGGAGTGGCGGGGGGCGATGACAGCCGAGGTGTAAGCTCACTAGCCACAGACACGCGCGCGTGTGCGATTCCCCAAGCACTAGTCGTGCCTCCCACCAGTAAAGACATTTCTTACTTCACTTCCTTAATTGTATAATTCTTTATTTGTAAATTATATACATGTACTACTGTACTAAAATATTATGTACATTATAAAACATACACAAAAATAGAAATTTAAAAAAAGATGAGATGAAAATAAATCTAAATCAAAGTTCTAATATTTTTCCTGCATTCTAATAGACCATCATGTTCCTCTTCCCTAACCGTTGCTCCTAACATGCCCAGGAGGACTAGTCAAACCCAGGGCCTGACAAAATGTAGTAAGCGGTTTTCTCCATCTAGAGGTCCTGGCTATTTGCCCAGGGTTCAGGAACTCCTGGTTGCTAACTCTAGACACATGACCTTCAACCTCTTCAGTGAGGGACAACCATGTGGCATAGATTGTTGCTGGGTGCTGGGATGGTGGTGAAGGAGGTCCACTCCCTGTCTCCATGGGTCTCACAGATATGGGGGGGTCTCGGGCAGAAGTGGTTATCATTGCCATCGGGGACTCTGAGAGAGGCTGGGGAAAGACTAAACGTGATACTACAAAGTAAAGAATTTGGGGAGCAGGGAAGAGAATTTTGACCTACGAAGCTGCCTGAATGTCCTGAGTGTTCCAGGGGACAGGGTGGTGGAAGGGAAGTTGCTTAAAGTGATTGCAATGCTTCCTGAAAGGCCACACACTCAAGTTTCCCCCAAGGCTGAAACCTGAGAGTCAGGGTGGGCAAGAGGGTCTCTCTGGTCAAGCATGCTCCTGAGTCCCAACCATACACTTCCAGTGAGTAGGTGGCTGATGTAATGAGGAGAGAGCCGAGGAGCTAGGTTAAGTTCTATCCTTGGACTCTGGCAGGTACCTTAGAATACAGGGCAGATGATAAAGGAACAAAATGGGGTCAGGTACAAGTTCACTAAGTCAACCGGGGTCGTATACAGATAGGAGAGTTCATTTGAGTCACAGCGGTGGTTTCTGAATGAAAACCGAGAAGGCAACGACTGAGAGCCCAAGTGAGGGCTCTAACCTGGATCGTAATAAGATCTGATCCGTGGACTCACCAAGAGGTCATAGCAGTTAACCTGGGGTCCCATAGAGATCAGAGGTGGCACGTAAGGATTACCACCCTAAGCAAGCTCTCAAGACAACAGCAAACAAATAGCAGAGGCATCTAAGCAGTCATCGACTGGGGCCTGGAAGATGTCCATGATATACAGGTTTGTTGAACATTCAGCCCAGTAATTTTTCCCTAATTTTTTCCTTTGTAATAAGTGCCCCCTTCAGCACCCACCAACAAATATAATGATGAATTTGTAAGTTTAGCCTTTTCTTAATCATCGCCTCATCGAGTCTTTGCCACTGTGTGATTCAGGGTTGCAAAGCTCAGGATTCTGTCCCCACCACCATCAAGGGAGGCATCTTCTGGACATCTCTCAGGAGCAGTGCTGGGCCCATCTGCACGTAACCTCCACAGCAGCTCGCTGAGCTATACAATGTCTTCCTCGTTTCTCACTAAGCAAATTGTGGGTTGGAGAAGGCACACAGCTAGCGCGGGCCAAAACTGGCACTCAGACTCCGTCCTTGTTGCTCTGGGCCTCTCTGTCCCGCTCCTCTGATAGTGGCTGTCTAGCTCCACGCTGGGACATTCAAGGACATGCACAAGCATACGTAAATATGTACACATTCACCCCAGCTCTTTGGAGAGGAGGCTTCAGGTCCAGAAGGCTGGAATCTTGGTTTCTGGTATTCTAGGTGGCTGATGAGAAAGACTCTTCACCCCGGACTCCATCTGCCTCCTCCATGCCTGAGATCAGACCTTTATCAGAGCTGCAGGTTTAGACCGGCCCTGGCTCTGAGGGGGTATAAAACTGGGGAAAGAGCAATACCCTGTGGGCTTAGAAGCGCAGCTGCTGTGGTCCTGCTGGCAATGAGGGTATCCATTATGCTGTCTTACATGTCCAGACTCTGCCTGTGACGTGCCTGAGGCCCCAAGGGTCATCTTTGTCTCCACTGCCCCAGTGCCAACCCCACAACCCTTCCCTTTTCACCCACCTGGGTGGGAAACTGTTGCCTCAGTCCAGCCTCCTAGCTCCAGGGCAGGGACTGGGCCAGAGTTCTGAGGCTGAGTTTAAAGCAGAACAATTTGCGTCAGTCCCTTGGCTGGGCTCCCCAGCACCCAGGGGGGACACCTTATAAATGACTTGGAAGGAAGACTTGGAACAGGTCCTCGGAACTGGGGCCAGCGGGACTGGAGAGAGGGTCACTTCCGCTCAGGGACTGCCCTGGCCCTCTCCAATCTCTCTTCCAGGACCCACAGGGCCCAGATCCTCATTCTGTCTTCCCTTCTCAGCTGGGCCAGGTACACACAGTCAAACAGGAGTTATTTCTGATTTTATTTATAATATAAAAATGTTCAAGTGTCAACAGTCAGGTGTTTGGACATGTCAGGGTTCCCATCTGTTCCTGTTTGGGATTTGTTTGTTTGTTTGTTTCCTTTTTAGACAAATGCCTTTTTTTTTTTGACAAATTAGCATTGGATCCAGTTGTGAGGGCAGGGGAGGGCAGGATTGGAGGATGGAAATCATAGGTGGGTTGGGAGCTGGACTGTGAGAAGGACATGGTGTTACTTTATTGCTAAAAGGGGAATCGAATACACTGTCAGAGTGGCTCTTCTGGGTCCCAGCGTGACCATGCATTCAATCTAAAGAATCTGAAATGCAAAGGACATGCAGGCATAAAATAGAAAAGACGACCTGTAAACGAAGGTGCTGCAGAGGACAGAGTACCCTGGAGGCCGCAGGAGGAGGAGCCATGAAGGTTGGGCCCCTGGTAGTGCTGCCCCTCCCTAGGCCGGGGGCTGGTGGGGAGACCGCCTTCTCTGTCCTCTTTCCCTTAGCAGCCGTGAGGAGGTGAGGAGCGGGGAGGACCCCTCCCCATTCTAGTTGCTGTAGTGGGGGGGCTATGTCTCCCCCTGGAAGTAACCCGACCTCAATTCCAGCTCTAGGCAAGGATCCCTGCCCTCTCTGCCCGAGATTCCAGATCTGACAGGGGAAGATCAAATTCTGCCTTGTCTCCATTTTCTTCCTCACTGCCCACTACGCTCAGGGCCAGTAGAACCTTGGTCTCTTCTTTCCCTGCCTTTTCTCACCCTCACCGGTTTGGGATCCTATAAGCGCCCATCCCCACCCTGCACCCCAGACGACTCTCCAGGAGCCCCAGATTAGCGTACAGCAAAAGGCACCACAATATAGGTTTCTATTAAAGAGTCAAAAAATTGGCCCATCTCTCTTTTTTTTTGTTGTTTCTTTTTTTTTCCGAAGCTGTAAATCAGGATGTTACATATAAATAGTTTCCCTATAAAAACGTCTTTGCCGTTAGCTAGTATTATAAGACAATTTTTTGCTAAAATGAAAATAAAACATTTTGTTATACTTTTTTCCTTTTTATAGAAAATAAAAATATTTTTATTTTCTTTAAAAATGAAAATAAAAATATTTTTATTTCTTTGTTCGCTCCTATTCCCTCTCCAGTCGGTGGTCTCCGCTCTCCTTGGAGACGTGGGGCGGGCGAGGCGGGGGAGGCCTAGAGGGGCCCCGAGTCCTGCTTGGCCCTCGTGGGCGGCCCACGGCTGTGTCTGCTGCTGGCGCGCGTGCTGTGGCTGTCCAGGGAGTAGTAAGTCCTGCTGTCGGCCGCCGGACACAGCGGCGGCGAGTCCGAGCGCAGCGCGTCGTGCGCCGCTCGCAGGCCGAGGAAAGGCGTGCTCTCGGCCGCC